GCCATGGCACTCTACCCAGGGGGACAGCTTGAGGCTCCGTCTCAAAAAAAAAAAAAAAAAAATAGACACACTTATCTGACAACGTGAATGTTACTTTCTTTGCATTATTACTATTATTATTGCTTAAAAAAAACACACACAGGAAGGCACATCATAACATTCAGAACCTCTGAGCTAGAAAGATCAGGAGTCAGAATGCCATGGAATTTCTCAACAGCATTACTCAAAGTTTGAGGGGAACACTGCCTGCAAGAAAACTTTTTGAGACAGTCTCACTCTGTCACCCTGGGTAAAGTGCTGTGGTGTCATATTCAAGCAACTTTAAACTCTTGGGCTTGAGCAATCCTCTTGCTTTAGCCTTCCAAGCAGACAGGTGCCCAGCCCACCACCACGCCCAGCTAATTTTTCCTTTTTTTTTTTTCAGTAGAGACAGGGATCTTGCTGTTGCTCAGGCTGGTCTCAAACTCCTGAGCTCAAGCAGTCCACCCACCTTGGCCTCCCAGATTGCTAGGATTACAGGCATGAGCTATCACACCTGGCCTGAGAAAACTATTTTCAACTTAGACTTTTATGACCCAACCAAATTATCACATATGTGTAACCTGAATAAGGAAATATTCAGACTGGTGTGGCAGCACCTGTAATCCCAGCACTCTGGGGGCTGATGTGGGAAGCCATGAGTTTGAGAACAGCCTAGGGAGCAAGACTGTGTACAAAAAAATATCTGGGAGTGATGGTGTGCTCCTATAGTCCCAGCTGTTCCAGAGCTGAAGCAGGAGGATCACTTGAGCCCAGGAGTTGGGAGCCTACAATGAGCGATGATGAAGCCATTGAACTCTAATCTGGGTAGCAGTGAGACCCAAAAACTTTTTTTTTCAGATAAGCTGTTCCTTGAATTGTTTACCTCTAATGACTTTTTTTTGTCACCCTGGGTAGAGTGCCAGCTATACATCACAGCTCACAGCAACCTCAAACTCTTGGGCTTAAGTAATTCTCTTGCCTCAGCCTCCCAAGTAGCTGGGACTATATAGGCGCCCGCCACAATGCCTGGAGTTTTTAGAGATAAAGTTTCACTCTGGCTCAGGCTGGTCTTGAACCTATGAGCTCAGGCAATCCACCTGACGCAGCCTCCCAAAGTGCTGGGATTACAGGTGTGAGCCACTGCACCTGAGCCCTCCAATGGCTTTTTGAAGAAGGCACTTGTGGATATGTTTCACAAAATGAGGGTGAACTAAGAGAGAAAGACACAAGGCCTAAGAAACAGGGATCTAGGCTTGGCACCTGTGGCTCAAGTGACTAAGGCGCCAGCCACATACACCTAAGGTGGCGGGTTCGAATCCAGCCTGGGCCCGCCAAACAGCAATGGTGGCTGCAACCAAAAAATAGCCAGGCGTTGTGGCGGGTGCCTGTGGTCCCAGCTACTTGAGAGGCTGAGGCAGGAGACTCGCTTGAGCCCAGGAGTTGGAGGTTGCTGTGAGTGATGCCACAGCACTCTACCCAGGGGAACAACTTGAGACTCCATCTCAAAAAAAAAAAAAAAAAAAAAAAGAAAGAAACAGGGATCTAGCTCAGGAGAGAGACAAAAGCAATTCTTTTAGAGAACAAAGGTTTTTGGTAAAGCAGGGGATGAAGGCAAATGTCTAGAAAAATGGAAGTGTCAGACAGGGTGGGGAAAGAATCAGCAGTTGTTTATTAGAAACCTAAGCAAATGAAAAAATCAGAGCAATTATTAACTCCATGAAAAAGAAAAAAGTACAAAGAGGGTAGTTTAACTGTAGATGGTTCTTGGCTCCACAGCAGAGAGCTCTCACATAGTAATACAAACAGTAACCTAAACAGTGAGTGTGGATTTACCTGAAAACTAGAGATGGGCAGGCTGCTGTCAAATCTAAGGCCTCAACTGTTCCAACAGGGGCTCAACACAAAACATCTCAAATTAAGCGAGTAATACAAGCTAATTTTAAAAATAAAGTGCTAAAAGAACTGAAATGACTACTGCAGGGGAGCAGTTCCAGGGAAGGAAGAGAGGCTATTTAGTTACAAATTGCCTAATTCCACATTGCTAAGGAGGAGCATGTTTTTTCATTTTTGTTTAGGTGCATTTTTTTTGTTTTGTTTTGTAGAGACAGAGTCTCACTTTATTGCCCTCGGTAGAGTGCCATGGTGCCACACAGCTCACAGCAACCTCCAACTCCTGGGCTTAGGAGTTCTCATGTCTCAGCCTCCCCAGTAGCTGGGACTACAGATGCCTGCCACAATGTCCAGCTCTTTTTTTGTTGCAGTTTGGCTGGGGCTGGGTTTGAACCTGCCACCCTTGGTATATGGGGCTGGCACCCAACCCACTGAGCCACAGGTGCTGCCCTAGGTGCATATTTTCTTTTTCAGAGACAGAGTCTCACTCTGTTACCTCAGTAGAGTACTGGGGCATCACAGCTCACAGCAACCTCCAGCTCTTGGGCTTAGATGATTCCCTTGCCTCAGCTCCTGACTAGGTGCCCATTTTAAATAAGTATTATATAAATGCTCCCGACTGTCCTTATCCTCAGCGTATACAACTTCCTAGCTCTCTGCTGTGTGACTGGTACTTGCTTCCTAGTGGCTTTACACACTGTCCACACAGTGTTATTGCATCTCCATCTCTTCCTAATGGTTACACGGTACTGCATTTTACAACTTCAGGTAGGTGATGGGCACAGAGCTCCCCTTTTGTCATTGTGAATAGCTATGAAGAGAAGAGATGAGACCTTTTTGTTCTCAGCTCATGCAGTTCCTAGCTTGACTAGGGGGAAGGGACTATGAGGGCCCCTTGGACAGTGACAGGGATGGGATGCTCATGACCCTTCAGGAAAGGCTCTTTGTCTCTTCCACCCAAGTTCTAGCCAGGCCCGACCCTGCTTAACTTCCAAGATCAGGCAGGCCAGGCACACTCAGAGTGGTGTGACCCTAGACAGGCGCTTCCATCTCTAAGTTCTTTGGGTTAAGGTGAAATCTCTGACAGCAACGCTTCCTCTACTCCATGTCTTTCCACTTTCGGGTTATAACTCCTTCCATTTGTGCCTCAGCAGGCTCCAGCTGGAAATGCTGTGCCATCCTCACCAACTGGTCTGTGTCTACAAGTGGCGGAGAGGGAAGGGAGCAGGGGGACAGGCTTTCCCTTGATCCAGGCGCCCTTGCTTCTTTTAACCTAACCCCAGATGCATTTCTTGGGAGGGAAAGGAGTGGGCTGTGGGTAGCATCACCCTACCTAGCCCTTGGTCTTGGGCACAGAGGCTGTTGCCTGGCAGTGGCAGCTAGCTTGGGGTCCTCCCTATAGTTACTCCTGTCAAATGTCACCTTTCTGGAACAACTTCTTGTTTTCTCCAGAGAGGCAGCCAAGTTCACAGAGTGTTAGAGCTAAAATGGCCTTATTTTACATGTGGGGAACTTGGTCACATCCCAGGTCTGGCATCTGGTCTGACAGGGGCAGAGATGCAGGCCCTCAGGGACCCATGCTCATGGCTCACAAGTGGCTCAGGGTAGCCTGCAGGGTGGGCCAGGCAGACAGTAGAGCCTCAGGAGGCTGAAGTGTAGGGCTGATGGTCTTAGCCCTTGTGGCCTAACACATGCCTCTATCTAGCCTTCAGCTTCAGTCCTGCAGCAGGAGATGAGTGATGTGCCCAAGGGAAGCAGCAAATTAGAAGGGATGGGCCTGTCCTCACTTCACTCTGACCCTTCAGCTCTGCCTTGATCCTGGGTGTCGTTTCTGGGAAAAGCTGGGGAGGAGGTGGGTAGCAGCCCAATGGGGACAATGACTGGGCTGATCCTGACAGAGAGGAGCTGAGCCTCCTGGGGACTCACTGGCCTGCTGTTATAGGCCCAGCATGGGAGCAGTGAGAAAGGGGTGTTCAGGACAGGGGAAAGAAGCTGTCACGTGGCACACTGCTGTGAGTAGAGTGGGCCTGGGGCACCGAACCTGCCCCCATTCAGAGAAAGCAGCTGGATCAGCCGGGGGCTCAGGCAGCTGCCAGCCCCTCACTCGCTGGCATGTTGATGTGGGCGCTCAGCAGGGGTGCGCTCTGGCCTTCTCGGAGCACCAGCACCTATGAGAGAGCATCTGTGGCAGCAGGAGCATCACCTTTGACCTCCACCTGGTCTGCACTGGCTCTAATGACAGGCCACTAGGGCTCTACTGTACAAATACCCGCCACCCAGCAGTGCCCCGCTGAAGGCCTTGTCCGTGCTCACCTTACTGTCCTCCTCAGGCCCCGCTTGCCCTCCAAGTTATACCTACCTTGATAATGTCTGAGATGCCCTTGTCACTGAGACTCTCTACAAAGGTCTCCAGGGGATAGTTGAGCCCTGGCACCAGCAGGGGGACCTACAGAGACAGAGAGGTTAAGACAACCCTCATACTATACAGTGTTTATACAGTTGCAGCTGGGTCTCAGTACCCCTGCAGGATGGCAGGATGACCACAGGGTCCAGAAGGGTGTGCGTACAGTGGGGAATGTACATGCTCTAGGGCCATAAAGCGTGTAATCAAACCTAGACCTCTGCATTCCCACCAAGTCTAGGGCTAATGACTTCATGTTCTAGAGCCTTAGTTTTTTTGCTATACCAACCTGAGGTCAAATCTGGGCTCTGGGGGAAACCAGATCTTTCCCTCTGAGGACAATGCTCTTGGGGCAGCAAGGCCCCTGTTCTAGGAGTGGCTGGAAAAGAGGGTGGGCTCTGGGACTTCCCCCAGTCCTGTCCCGGACAGTCTTCTGACAGGCATAGGGGGGACCTAGGCTCTAGCTGTTTTTTTTTTTTTTTTGAGACAGAGTCTTAAGGTGTCCCCCTGGATAGAGGGCTGTGGCATCAAAGCTCACAGCAACCTCCAACTCCTGGGCTCAAGCGAGTCTCCTGCCTCAGCCTCCCAAGTAGCTGAGACTATAGGTGCCTGCCACAACGCCCAGTTAATTTTTGGTTACAGCCATCATTGTTTGGCACGCCCGGGCTGGATTTGAACCTGCCAGCTCAGGTATGTGGCTGGCACCTTAGCCACTTGAGCCACAAGCGGACTCTGACTGGGTTTTAGCACCTTCTATATGGCTCCCTGAGACCTCCTGCAGCATGGGAAGAGAGTTGTGGGGACAGGTCTTGGGTGCCCTCTCCAGAGGTCCCTGCTGGGGCCTTAGCCTGGCTTGTGGTAGGAGAGCTGTCCTGCTGCCACCTGCCCCACTCCCTTGCCCTGACCTAGTAGGGGCTCTGTTGGCATCTGATCAGGCCCCAGACAGCCTTTTCCACTCCAGGTCTGAGGAGGGTCCAGTACCTTGAAGCAGGCCCGTGGCAGGGCATAGAGCGCATCATTGTAGAGGAAACAGATTAGCAGCCCCAGGGCAGGGCGAGCTGTCGAGGGGTTCTGTAGGTGCAGTGTGAGCTTAAAGGTGGGGCCCAAGCCCTGAACCTGTGGAGGGCGGGATAGAGAACATCATCAGGACCCGGTGGCCTTGGGCTCTGCCTGTCTCCTCCCCATACCTTCAGGTCCTTCCTCCTACTGTGTGTCCCTTAAAACGTACAGAAGCCCAGAAGGTGCACAGGGACTAACAGAATCCAGGGAGGGTGAGAGGCTGGACAGAGAAGTCCAGCAAGCTGGAAGCAGAGCTGGCGTGGGACTGCACGTCCTGACTCCCACCAGTGTCCTCACCACTGCCCCATCCCAGTTCCCAGACCCGGTTCTACCACCCACTCTCACCCTGTGGTGGCCTTGGTGATTCTGCCTTTCTCCCTCTTACCCTGAGTGCTTTGTAGCCTCTTTCCTCTCTAAATCTATCCACACACTTAGGAAAACAGAAGCTGGAAACCCAGTTGAATCAGATGATAAACCTCAGGGACCCATTAAGAGCTAGTGGGAGCCCTGCAGACATCAGGGCTACTTGTGTGAGTGTGTGGGCTCCTCCCCAGTGCCTGTGCTCCTTTGGTTCAGGCTGGGATGCCCCGTCCGTGGGACGGGCACCCCAACACCCTGTGGCCAAAGAATAATGCCTTAGGACATTATTTCTTCCCCAAAAGGCATGAAGATCCCTCCAGGCTTTGGGGAAGAAATAATGCCCTAAGGTGACTACTCTGCGCCCTTACCCAAATCTGGGAGCTTGTCTGAGGCATGGTGTAGGGCAGGGGAACTGGAGAGTGTGTCCCAGTCCACAACCAGCCCAAGGGAAGAAGCAGCATGGGAGGGCAGGCAGGTGAGAACAGCTCTCACAGAGGACATGAGAAGGGAACCAGGAGGAGTTGGCTTGGAGTTGACTCTGGGGGCCTTGGCTGTGTGGCAGAGTTTTTCCTACCCATTCCTGGCCTCTGGGCCTGACAACCTCCACATGTGGTACTCACCACAGCATGCAGCTTGAGTGGCTCCCGGACTGTAGCAGATACAGGGTTCAGGCTGGACTCAAGGGCCTGCACATAGGCGCGGGCAGCCCGCAGGCGCAGTAGGTAGAGGTCTGTCTGGAAGGCCCGGTGCATGGCTGAGGAAGGGGACACAAAGGCTGACAGTGGAGGAGGGAAGGGGTGCTCCTGCCAGGGAGAGAGGGAGGTGTAGCAGGCAAGGTCTGCAGAGACTGGGAGTATGGGGAGAGAGAGGACCAAAGGCCTAGCCTTCTGGCCACTCCCTACCTCTTCCCTAGTTCTCCTATCCCTTCATTGCCTTCACAATCTGTCCTTCTTTGGCTTCTTTTGTTCTGAACTATAGGCTGGTGTTCCCGAGTGCCATCTGGCCCTCTTCTCAATGCCACCTTCTTCCACTGTACAACCTAAGTCCTGCCATACCTCTGACCACCCCAAGAAGTACAGCTTCAAGCTCCCAAGGGCAGGGACCTTGGCCCTTTGGAGTCCTCAGCTAGGCCCATATTCACATTTGATATTGGGCATGTGTCTCCATCAGCTCAGCAGGCACCCAGGCCTACCTACTGGTCACCTCTATCTGGATGTTCCATCAACATTTCAAATTCAATACTGTGGAAACCAGCCTCTTGTACTGCTTTACTCACCCCTCCCTGTCCACCACATAGGCTCCCCCTTATGTCTAACCACTTTCCAGGACTGGACGGACGACTCTTCTCAAAGTTGCCCCTAGAGCCCACCCCTAGTTGTCAGCAAGTCTGACTTTTTTTTTTTTTTTTGAGACAGAGCCTCAAGCTATCCCCCTGGGCAGAGTGCCATGGCACCACAGCTCACAGCAACCTCCAACTCCTGGGCTCAAGCGAGTCTCCTGCCTCAGCCTCCCAAGTAGCTGGGACCAC